CCATGCAGAGGAGTTGTATGCAGCTGCTAAGATCAAATATCCACCTTACTATGTGTTCTATCAAATTGAAGATGGTACTATATACCTTGATAAACTTGACGAATTTGAAAACGAGTTGGATAAACATTTAATTGAAATTAAATTAGAAATTCCTTCTAAACTAAATTAAGCATTCATCTATAATTAATTCAGCATTATTATTTAGTTAGATGGAGAAATTATACTTTTTAGATTTGATAATGAGGATTGGTTAATTAAGGCAGAGAGAGCCAATAAATTGCAATTTTATATTGAAAAATTTAATTATGAAAGGAAAGAAAATTTTAAAAAAATTGAATAGAAAGATATTTTTAGACTGAAATCAGATAATTATGCTATTTCAAACAGCAGCTTAGAAGATCACTATGTCATTTTTAATAATAAAAATACTCTACTAATTAACAAATAATGCCTTGATACAGATTAAATTATAGATAAAAGATATTATCCTATTAGCTATTTTAATTTTTACGGATTTCTAATGGATGATAGCTTTAATTTATTCACTTATAATGCTGATAAAAAAGAGTTAATATAATAGGTGCGATTGTATCAATCTACTATTTAAGATTTACTTTAGATAGAAACTACTTTAAATTAAATAATTATTTTTTGTTAAAAAGATAGTTTATTCAAAACACTTCTAATCTTTTGAGTAGAAAATTTTTAATTAGTCAATCATATTACAACCGAAAGAATCGAGGGAACCGCCTATACTTTTCCATTTTATATAGATATAGCAAACAGTATTTTACATTTAGTTACTAAATCTTAATATACTTTAGTATCTGATGAATTTTAAGATACTTTTTCTTATGAAATTAAATATAACAATTGCTTTAGTGAAAATTTAAATATCTCCCCAATCATTTATGAAAATAAGAAAGTACTGTATAACTAACTTTAAATGATTGGAAAAAACTACATAATTTTTATCGATAATAATTTAAAAGACTTTATAATTGAAGACATTTTTAGTAGAAGATAATTTAAATTTGAAAAATAGTACGAAAAAATTCTAACAACTCATCTTTAATAAAATGAATACATTTTTAATGCTGAAAAATTTAATGAAATTTTACTATTAGCATCTAATAATGATGACAATATTAATAGCAAAAATGAACAATAATATGAAATAGTCAATGAGATTAAATCAGATGATATAATAGTTAAAAAATAAGGCAAATTCATTTATCTTAATGGAAATAGGAAAGTTGAATGGTAAGAGTTTAGAAAAAGATATGATGAATTAAAATGGAGGAGATTTAATGATTATATCTTAATGTATAATAAATTTTATGAAATACAATATGTTGCTGAAATTGACGAAGATTCTATTTATTATTTTGATAAAGATAAGCAAAAATGTAAGGAAGAATGAGTCAGGTTCTACAATTCTTCTTTTTTAAATCCTTAGTATTCTTTTCTAGATAAAAAAGTTCTTGGTATTTTACTGATTTTTTATAATAAAGCTCTTGAAATTCATAGTCTTTAATCAGAATAAATAATCTTTAAAATAGATAAAAGCTGTGGAATCGTCTTTGAATAGAATTATTTACAAGTTAATTATGACTCAACTTAGGTTATTTTATTCTTTTAGAATAAATAAATAGATAAATTAGTTTAAATTGAGCACAATCATGAAATTAAATATGAATATAGAAATGATTATATTAAATTAGTAAATGATAAATATCCAATAGCATTATCATAAAATGATTTTTATGGTAATGAAACATTATGTTATTTTACTTAAAATTCATGTGAAACTTTTTTTAAAGGAAAATCATTAGTTTAACCATTATATCTTATTTTTTATTTTAGATATGCAAATAAAATAATCATTGACTCTAATGGATTTGTTCAATATTTTATAAATGGTAAAAAATAAAGAGTTGGATATTTTGACATTTGAATTACTCATAAAAAGATAATGGATTATCGGTTAATTAAAAAAAAAACTAATGAAAGCATAATCTAAGAGCTAAAATCAGATCTAAATTACTATCTTAAGTTTATTTCAGGATTTGGAACATGCTTTGGCATTTTTAAAAATAATTTGGTCATTCTTGAAACAATCGTGAAATTATTATCACTAAAAGATAAGCAAAACTTGCCTATCTTAATATGTTAGAATCTTTTAGAAGGATAATCTCCATTAGACTTTTCTATTAAGGCTCATCAGCTAAAGATTACTAATCTTATTCTATCAATGATTTTAAAATATCAAAATCATATTGTTTTCAATTAACTTGTAGATAAGAATTTATGTAAGCTAATAAAGCAATAGATTGACTTGTAAGAATATTTTGAGAGTAATTTACCAATTCATTAAATTCTAGATTCATCTTTTCCAAATCAGCATTATGACGATAGAGAAATTATAGTTGGTATAAACTTGGATTATCCAAAAGATATACATAATAAATATGATTAGATTTTTTAAAAGAAATTATCTAAATAATATATACATGATTAACTTGAAGTTTCTATAGAATATTACTTGATTAATATTCCAGTAACATTAGCATCTAATCCTAAGCATTTAATGAAAGTACTTGCTGAAACATTTATACCAGAGTACTTTGAGAATAAATTAATCCAAAATATTATCAATTTTAAATGGAATACATACACGAAAGTATTTTATCAGAAAATATTCAAAATATATTTAATTTTTTTGGCTATTTTTATCTTGGATATATTTTTCTTTACTTATGAAAACATTGAAAATTAAGCAAAATTAGATTAAAATGAAGTTCAGATAGATACCTAAATGTCATAAAAATATATCTGGATCAAAATCTCAACTAAAATTATTTGTTCTATTGTGAATTTTTACTTTTTAATGCATGAAATCAGATATTTGAAAGTCCAGAAAATTGGCTATTTTTGTGACGTATGGAACTATTTTGACTTTTTTCATATCATTTCATTCATTGTATATTGCATTCTTGATTTTACAACTGAAAATTAGAACAATATTATTCTGGTAAAGATTTTACTGATAGTTCTTTCATTCATGAAATTGCTTTTCTTCTTAAGGATTTATGATGGATTCAGTTTTTTAGTTTAAATGATGTCTGGAGTGTTCAAAGATCTCAAATACTTTATCATCTTCTTCATAATTTTTTTATTGCTATTTGGAATGATCTTTTTAGTTCTCTTTAAAGCTTAATAAATTGATGAATATAATGGCGTTAATAAATTAGCATATTTTTTAATGGTCTTTAGAATATCATCTGGTGATTTCTAATTAGATAATTTTTAAACATAAGATGATTCTTTAGTTATATTTACTTGGCTAATCTGGCTTATAGCAGTTTTAACTTTAAATATTGTTTTTATGAATTTTATAATCGCTGTAATATCTGAATCATATTAAAGAGTAATGCAAAAACTTGTGGCTGAATCATTTAAAGTGAAAGCTAATATGATAGCTGAAAGAGAGTAGCTGTTTTCAGCAGACGAGCTCTAATAGGAAGAACTATTCCCTAGATTTATTGTTGTGAGAAAATAAATTAACAATCAATCCATCGATGCTAGTGAGTGGCAAGGATTTATCAAGGATATAAAATATACAATAAAAACTACATCAGCGAAATCAGAAAGTGAAATTATTCATAATCTGAATGCATCATTGGGAAAGTTAGAAAAATTGGAAGCATATTTTCTAGAGAAAGATTCTAACAATTAAAATGCTAATTAAAAATATGAGGAGCTTGATAAAAAAGTTGAAGGATTAAGTACATAAGTCTTAAGTCTCTAGGATGACATGAAATTCATAAAGAATTCTTTAGCCAAGCTACTTCAGAATAAAAGCCATTGATGATGCTAGATTATTATTTAGTGAATATTAAGACATACATTTCACTATAATATGCAATTAACCAATTTGATAAAAAAATCATATTAATCTTAAGATCATCTTTATTAAGTAAAATTTTAAATACTTTATCATACTAAAATAAAATTATTGTTAATTTGAGCATAATATTATCTAATTATAAAATAATCACTAAAGTTATGAAAGAATATGAAGGTAATTAATTCCGTTTTGAATTATTTTATAATTGTTCATCATATTCAAATCATATCAAAGCCTAATTAGCTTTAGATAGTGTAAAACAATTTTTATAATATTTATTCTTAGTTAATACCTTATTGTTTATTTTAATAAGTAATAACAGAACTTGGAGAAAAGGAACTTATTTATATTAGTTTTATATATCTTCTTAGTCATTCTAAAGCTTGGGTTGAATTTTATTTTAATGAATTTTACAAATGGTAAACAATATCCAAGGGAAATTCTATTGAGATATTTAACTAAAGTTTTTAAAAGGGTGTTAGAGATTTTTCTGAAAAATTTAAGCTTAAACAAACTTAGAGATTAATAATTTGATAAAACAAACCTTTATAAGAATATTGTAAATTTAAGAAGATATTATAATTATTTAATTGTATTATAGAATAAAGATTTATATTTATACAAATATAGTATTTAAATGAGGCAAATTCTTAATCATGGGGTTTTGGGGTTTTGGGGTTTTGGGG